CCAGGCGCACCCCCGCGCCTCGCAGGCCTCCTGGGCCGCGTCCGGCTGCGGGTGGCAGTCGACGCGCTGCTGCACCGGCACGGCGCTGGCACACTGCTCGTCCCGCGCCGAGCCGAGGCACCCGCCCAGGCCTGCGCGCGGCGGGAAACGGGCAGAGCAGCAGAGAACAACGTTAAAAAACCCACAATGCGACACTGTGAGGGCTGAAACTGTTACCCGTATCAAACCCCTACGTTTCCTGTACGCTGATTGTCTCATGTTACACACAGAGGTCATCTATATATATAGATAGGTGCAAAGATGTGAAATCAGCATGCACCCGTACAATATACATAAATATAAAAATATATATGTTCCTATCGGGTTTCAGTTTTACATCATACGACTACTACATATACGTAGTATTTGTAGTTTGTGTTCCTACAGGCACGGTTACGAGTAAAGGGAAGACGCCAGCGGTAAAAGAAAAGGCACAGGTTAGTCATTTGCAGAATCATCCTGACAAAAACCTCTTAGTAAGGTGCTAAATCCTTTCCATTTTGCGGCTGCAGGTCGAGCCCCGTGGCTCCCCTGCGTGGAGCAAGCCTCCTGAGAGCAAGGGGACTGCGAGACCAGCTCCCTGCTGCACTGACAGAACTCTCTGTTATCAAATGTCCATAAAGAGAGCAGGTGTACCACAGGCGGCACACTTATTTTGAAGTTACCTTATGCCACTTGAGTCATTACAGCAATATTCAAAGATAAAATCTGCTTGAACATTAATTGCACTTTTCTATATAATGACTAATATCTCTGCTTTAATTTTTTGTTTTTATGTGGACTGTTGTGTGCTTGAAAGCTTAAAATGTGATTGCTGTTGCAGTCTGGGCTTTTCCATATAAAAAGAACTTCACAAGCAGATGTGCACCAGCAGTAATTCTATATACTGGGAAGATTTACAGAATAAAACTGTAGATTCACTAGAAAATGCCACCATGCTGCAATGCCAGAGCTGATTTCCAGGTAGGGGATGGGAACACAGACAAGCAGGAGCTGAGTGCCATCTACCCTCTCTTTTGAGAAGACTCTCATCCCCCCTTCAATGCAGGAGTGTCTGATGCTCCCAGGACGGGACGTGCAGCCAGGCTTGTTCCTCGCTGCCCCAAGGCCTCGGCTTGCCTTCAAGAGGCCAGAATTCACAGCTGAAACCCTGTTGCTTTTCGCCAGCTGCCAGGCAGGCAGGCTTGGCTTCCACCTTTGTTAGATGGGGTGGACAGTCGTGCGCCACAGGCTGGCCACGTTCCGTCCAGCATTTACCCCCCGTAACCTGCCACGTAGGAAAGCCCTAAATTCCGATATCCTTTCTCATCCAAAGCGTAATAGGAATGTGAACATCCCTCTGCAATCCCTAAATTATTTCTTCTCGGAGCAGAGATCGGGGAGGATTCATCGCTGGTCTAATGAAGCACTGAAGGCACTGGGCTGGGTGTGTGCAGCCTTGCTATTTTGTGCTGGGTCCCTGCTGCAGATTTAAGAACAACAGACAGATTGCAAGCCTACGGAAAGAGCTGCCCTGCCTTTGCACCGCTGCGCACTGAATACCCCTGCGTGTTGAGGGAGGTGGAAGGATTTCAAGGGCATCCTGCAGCCCTCTGGGTCCTGAGGTCCTTAAACCTGTGCAACCACAGAGGCTAAAAAAATGCTGTACCAAGCACCACCTCTGCAGTCAATGCACAGCTTCTGTGTCCAGCAGCTTCGCACTGCTCTGCCTCGCATGTTCCAGTTACCACCTTGGCAGACACAGCACAAAATAGAGTAAATCCATCACATTTCATTAGGTTTTGAGTTGGGTTTTTATCCCCCCCCTAATGGGAGTCAAATGCAGCATCAGTGTTTTCATTGCTGAAATCAAAGAATCTGACTGAGCACACTACAGCAGATTATTAACTTGGCATCATTTTACATAGCATAGATTCACAGGAGACTTGTCCGCTCATTCGTATAGTAAAACACTTTTGAAATACTTCACAAAGAAGGATATTGTGAATGAAAAAGCTAGTTCAAGGGAAAAAAAAACAGCCCCAGCAGGAGCAAAGAAATTTCTTTTTTTTTTTTTTCCCCCCATCAATGCGAAGCTTAAATATTCCAGCAAATTTTGCAAAGCAGCATTTGCAGGTATGAGCACCTGAACAAGTCTGCAACCCCATTCATCCCTTGTTCCGGGCTTAACTTCAACTACAGTACAAAGGGAAGTATATCCCTTCGACTATATACTAGAGAGAGTAGCAAGTGGGAACATGCAATTTTCCTTCCCTACTTTTAAAAAACATTTTGATTTTAAAATCTCTGCATTATTTTCATGGCATTTATGGCCTGTGTCAGCAAACATATATACAAGATGAAATGCAAACAAGCAGTTGAATATAGCAACAGCTACAGCTACTTGCTGCTTTTGCATGATAATTTCCATGGGAACAGAAGGTAGAAGCTAAAGCAAGGTAGTTTGAAAGTTATACACAAAAAATTATCCCCATTGATTTTTAAAATCCTTGACGGCAATTTTGTGACATTAGATAAAAAAATGCTGCAATAAGGCATAAGGAATTGAAGTGTTACCACGTAACTTTTAATTTAATAGTATTAATCTTTACATTTTGGGTTCATCCACACATTTCAAAGGCATTTGCTGCAGAGGTTCCCTCTTTATCTAGCAACAGATTAAGACATGTTCTCCTTTTATTAGGCTCTGGACCGAATCAGCCTCTGCGATACGAAGGTGAAAGTCACAGCAAACTAGCAAAGCACAGGGTAACTCTGAGCAGCTGAATGGTCCCACTGACTCCAGTGTGTCGGTGCTGGTGCCCGAGACCCGAACACACTGTTGGACCGGGCTGTATTTCTAAACAAGCTAGCCCTGTCATCTTCCCACAGTCACCTCAGGCGGAGTTACAGCCATGCCCGTTCTCTCCTTTTCCATGGAAAATGATCGCCTCCCCTAACAGCTCTTCCATTGGTATCACTTTTGTATCTTGCTTTCAAAGCCTATGACAAAATACAAGCGCCACGCGTTTACCTGCTAGCACAACCGCCAAGAAACACAGGATCCCGATCCTCTCCATGGTCGAAGGCCAACTTCCGCAGGCAGCAGGGAGCCTTTTATACAAGGCAGCAGCACGATGAGCACTTGCTCCAGTAATAGGAAACATTGCAAATATTTTCTCAGCACTCATATCTCACATGAGATTAATTAGAACACATAACCTCGCCTGTATTTAAGAATTCAAGTAGATAAGATGGGATGTAGTCAGTACTTTGTCCACAAGCTTTGCTCAAGTTCTGAATTCCAAACTTTGAGAGAGAACATGATTTTCCCATGAATTCTTAGAAAATTAATTTTTCAGAGACCACCTGTGTTTTCTTTTAAACAAACATCTTCAGACAATCGGAGTCCAGTGCTTATCTTTTTCTGATTTCCTATCATCTTTTGTCACATACGTAGTCTTATAGCACAAATGAAAAGTTTGGAGAAAAACAAACAGTTGAAGAATTCTCCATTAAAACAAGACACTGATACCATGACCTTTACAAAATGACAATTTTCTTCCAATTACTTGATGGCAAGAACTTTCAGAGTAAAGCTGTGTTCTGTGGCAAGATCTGGTTTATGTGGAACGTCTTCCTGAAGGAGGAAAAAAAAAAAAAAAAAAAGAAAAGACCTTTCTATACACACGTTATCTAAGTTCCATTGGTGCCTGTCAGGAGATAACTCTGTAAAACAAAACGCCTGTGCTGTCAAGCACCACCAGAGAGAAGTTTCTGCAGTCCAGGCTGCTGCCGCGACAGCCCCTCACCGTACGGTCGTTAGAGCCGAGCAGCCTGACGGCAGGTAGACATTTCCCAGCTTTGGAAGGACTTTCATCCTGCAGCTGTAGACCATAATATTCGTATGAATCTTACACTAAAACACCCACAGCTACCCAGGGCTCCCCGATGGCAGCCACGGATGAGCATTTGGCTCCAAACCCAGGGGTCACCAAGCTGTTGGCATCATTTGTGCAGCGTGGCACGGTGGGTTCCTCGACCCGCTGGGCCAGGCGGAGTGGGGACCCTCCACCAGGCACACAGCGCTCTCACACCAGTCTTGCATGGAAACCCACCCGCCACTGGGAGGTGTGCTCAAAGTTGTGTTACCATCCCAAATCTTTGGCATGTACAGCCCTTGAGGAGTCAAAAAGCATGACAGATAAACACTAATCTGCATTGATGCTGTTTATTTTAACTCACCTATACATTGTTCCTTAACAATATGTATCATTACTCATTTCTGCCAAAACTTGGGATAAATCAGTAACCTCAAATCACATGCAGGATGCATTTTCATCTCCTTTCAAGCTGAGAAGGAAGTAATTCCTCTAGTATCAGTAAGAGGCATCAGAACTTCTCTTTGTTTGACAGACCATATGTAATAAGGTAAGAACCGTCATCTCTCGGGAACAGGAGCCATCTGCTTCATTTTAAGTCTGTACTGTACTCAATATGAGAGAATCCTACTATTATCTGTAATTTCTAAGTACTATCAAAACACAAATACTGGCTAATACTGGCACAGACGTGGGATACCAGAAGACCCTGTGCGCTGTGTCACTCAGCAAGCTGTTTTACTGCATTGTGTAAAATCATACATTTTATATTCGGGGCCTTTGCAAGGGAAGTGGATTTTTTATAAGGAAGTATCATGAAAAAGGCAAAAAGAAGTAGTTCACATTCACATCTTTATTTAAATGTTACCTACATAAGCTATAATTTACAGACTGATATTTTCAGGGGGAAAAAAAAAACCAAAACAACAAACCACCAAAAAAACCTCAGTATCCAAACACTGTATCTGAATCTACATAATTTTTTTTTAAGTTTGCAGAATTTACAAATTAATGTTCAGAGCAGTTGGGTAAATTATACATCCTCCCTCAATATCCACATTCTAAGAGCTTCAAAAGTCATACAGGCACAAGATAAGATATTTTCTTTGTACAACCATCTATTTACATAGCTTTTTCCAATACACGTGGTTCAGTTCTCAGAGTAACTGCCAAGGTTTGCAAAACAGTGTATTTAAAATACATTTAGCAGCATATAAAATTAGATAAAAAGGAAAGACATTTTGCTTTAAAAAAGAAAAAGTGAGATGATAGAAACAAATGCATAAGAAAAATAGATTAAGATCTATTTCTGTCATGACATTAAGAACACCTAGTCATTACAGAATATAGGCAAAACACTAATAGAACATACCAGTTCACGAGCGTTTGGGTTCTAGTCCTGAGCACAGAGTATACATAGCTGCACAACTTTGGTCAACAAGGATTATATGCTAACATTAACACAAATCATACGGCATTCTGTGTTAGCAGGAGACAGCCATGTCAGATAGATGTGTCATTAACAGCTTCTTCCCATCTTTTATTCACTCCACTTTCCTAACAACAGTGTGAGCGACCTTTAGAATCCTGAAACTGCCTGCCATAATCAAAGGCTTGTTACTGGGACATCATCATTCCCCTGCTACCCTAAAATGCAAAACAGCTGATCATACTTGTGAGTGAAACAGAGCAGAGCACTTCTGTTATACATTCCAGGTTGTAATTTTGAGATGGTCGTTACAGAAGACTGATTTCCAGTTAATTTAATCCGCAAGTGTTACATATGCACACAAATTCAGCCATAATAGACATACATATGTGATCACTGAGACACAAGCATGTTACCAAGAGGTTATTTTTTTCTTAAATACAGTACATATTTTAAGGACAGCAGGTCTAGTAGAAGAGTTCACTCTTATTTATTTGTGAGTTCATTCCAGTCATCAGTGTCTACCTAATAAGCATGCAGCAAACTGCATAGAGTGCACCTCAAAATCATCAATATATTCATTGATCCCCATCATTTCAATTACTGGCAAGGTCTTCACTTGCATCTCCTGTATCTGAGATCTGTCCATCTATTACATTTCGAGCTTTCCAGATCCTCACAGTCCGGTCACTGAAAAACATAACAAAGCAGTATTAGAGCTAGGGAATTAAACTGGGGAGGGAGGGAGACCAGGGAGGGCAGTGTGTGCGCAGGCAAGCTTTCTTAAAAGCTTGGGTGTCTTTTTCAGAAAGGCATTGTTGGTAAAGTAAGATTTTCTTACTGGATATGCAAGGGTCATTCCACCTCCAGGAGACTTTGTAATCTAAGATGTACAACTTTTAAGATTCCCTAACCTTACTACAGCACTGGCTACTACCTTTAACCATCTAGGCAAGTATAAAAATTATGTGTCTAAGGAAAGTAAAATCCTACTCTGCTATTACTTTTTTAAAATACAGCTAATGGTAATAGGCTTAAGCAGACTGACACCAGAGAAGAGCTTCCATCATGTGACTATTTACAACTCAGCAGACCACAGGCAAACCCCCAGCGTACTACAGAGTGACAGACTCTGCAGGGCAAGACTACTTCCTGCCATCAATAGTGTGAAAGGTTATTATGGGTTAAATCAAACAGGACCTGAAATGTGCTCTGTTTGCATGAGAGGTGTCAGTCTATAATATGAAAAGGTAAAAAAAGCACAGAATCACAAGACCCCAAACAAATAACCCACAGACCACCACACACCAAACCAAAAAACAAACCCCTCTACCAGTGAGCTGGTGTTCAGAAGCCCAGGAGAGGCAAGCAATAATTCTGTACTTTTAGCAACAATCACTATTTACACAATTATAAAGTATGTGCAAGTAAAGTATCACATGGAATCCGTTACAAAACTCTATTATCATAATTAAAAAGGAAAATAAAGAAGCAGTCTTGTTAAACAGCAATTTATCCTGTGCAAGAGAAGCAGAATTTATTAATTTCTAAAAAATATTGAGTTATGTGACTAGCAAACATTGACTTGTGTATAACTTATAACCTCTTCACAAAAAGCCAGGAGGCAGCAGTCAGGACAAGACTATCACACTACAGAGGTTTTCTGACTTGAGCCTTTGCTTCACTGTAAATTGTCAGGAATACCTTAAGTTGTGTAGACCTTCACCACAATGTTACAAGTGCCAAAAGGCTGGGATTTTCTTCACTAGTAATAAAGAATGAATTTCAGGTGCATGTATGTGGTAAACTTGTTAATAATCTTTAGGCAGAGACATAAGCTTTGACATCTCTACCAAACATAGGAACTCGGCAGCTTTGAAAACCTGCTTCGATTCAGAAGGACCTGCTTCCACTTCAGCAGGCCAGAAGCTTCCGCAGTTGGCATTAGAAGATAACACGACAGCTTCCACAGCTCCTGTGCTCACACTATGCCACTGAGTGGGCTCTGCTGCCATCTCCCACACTTTCTCCAGAATAAGGTATTTTACTCTGTCACGTCCCCTGAGGTTTCAGGTACTCAGTTTGCTCGTTTTTACTGAGGAGACAAATATTCAAATCAAGGTGTTTAAAGGACAGTAGAATAACAATCACATACCATGGCTTTTAGAAAAATTCCCACACGTCAGGAATCAGTTCTAGCAGTAAATAGCCTAACTATAGAAACAAGCTGGTAAAGTTCTCAATTACTGCCAAATTCTCCCTGTCATCCTGTGGATCAGTGGTCTCCAAACTTTTTTGATCATGCACCCATACCACCAAAAAATTTTTGAGCACGCACCTCCACGTGTATTTATTAATTTAGAAGTTATACACACGTACCACGGAAGTTCTAATGTTTTCTTCCCACACCCCAATGGATCACATTGTGCATCCCCTGGGGTGTGTGAACCCCACTCTGGAGATTACTGCAGTAGATTACTAGCATTTAGGGGCATGGACCAGGTCTTCCCATGCTTGATATGAAGTGAATCACACAACTGAGGATCTCCCCTAAATGCATTTGCATGGACAGAATTCTAGCAGGAGCTATGGAAAAGGAAGATTCACACAGAAGAAAAACTCACTCTGATGCTGTGAAAATCTGGCTGGCGTTGGTACAGATTGCATTTATCGGGCTGTCGTGTCCCTTCATCTCCCCAATGGGCGCGAAGGTATCCACATTCCAGAGCTTGAGGGTGCCTCCTCTGCAGCCGCTGAGCAGAACTGGAGCATCAGGCACCAGGCCAAGAGCACACACCCAGTCTTTATGAGCATTAGGAACTTGCTGAAAAAGAGAAGGCAGGCAAGACTTAACAGGGCTGCAAAAACATCTAGAGGAACAAGCGCAGAAATGGAAAAATCTCAAGTTCTAAGCCTGATTCCTGTCCTGCAGCAGATTCGCTACATGGTGCTGGGTATATCCCAGCCCTGTGCCTTCTCCTCCTTAAGAGCAAGGAGGGTGCTGCCACCCATGAGGCTACATCTATACTACAAGTTTTTTGCTCTTTGTTAAGTAGTACTGCACAACAAAAAGAAAAACCAATATGCACAACTTACCTGACGTGGAAGAGAAATTAATTTAGGATAACGCTAAATCTGCATATGTTCAAATGCATATTTGAACATAGTCTCTGTAAATGTTTCAAGTCTGTCTGTACAACAGTTATAACACACATAAAAAGAAAATCCAAAATACTGCTCAAAAAATACACCAGGGAGACAGAAACTGTTTCTATATTTCTTCTTTTCCCATTACACATTCTAAATTGATTCTGTGGTGCAGCACTTAGCAAAAACACATTAATTCTTTATGGAGGAAGGACACTAGCATTCTGCTACTTCTTCAGAAAGCAAAATGCTGCACAGACCAGCTGAGAACAACATCCTTTTGATACCAACACTGGGGAAGTAATAGCTCAAGTTTGCTGTCTTTTAAGGGGACCAAGACTTGCTCTTCTCCAGTTCAGTTTGGTAGAAACCGCTTTGGTTTGCTGCCTTTCTCGTATTATGGAGCATATTCCACTTTCTAGGATCATCATGATGTTTTATCTAGAATATACACTGCTATCACAACACCGCTGGTCTGGTCCTGCAGCACTTCATAAAACTGGTGGGGGGGTGTGTGTCTGTATTCTTGTAAGTCTTAATTTTGTCACAGAAGCATTTTGTGGCTTGGGTTGCATAGCACCACATGAAGTATGTAACTGAATTCTTTTGAACAGCAAGTTTTTCATCAGCTATAGAGAACCAATCCTGTTTAACACATATATACCAAACCAGGACCTCTGCCGAAATTTTAGCATTTATAATTTAAAGTAGCTCAGCTCTGGTTTTAGGGTGGTGGGTTTTTCTCCTTCATCTAAAACAGTGAAGTGTATACACCAAAAGAAAGTTGCAACAATAGGAATTCTGGCTGGATAAGGAGGAGGTGGGGAAATTCATACAAGAGTACTTTAAGGATTGCAGTGGAATCTGTGACCTTGGAGATTTTGAAAACTCAGCTGGGCAAGACCTTGAGTAACCAGACCTAACTACAAAGTCAGCCTTGCTTGGATCAGTGGGCCAGCTTTGCACTGCGTGGCCTCCAGTGGGCTCTTTCACCGTTAATTACCCCACGATTAGTAAGAGTAACAGTACTTTTCTTCATTCCCTAAAAAGACAGTGAATAAAAATTATTTATATTGTTTTGTCAAATGCCTTAGTCTCACTTCCTTGAAAAACACACATTTTCTAGAAATAAAAAGAAAGGAATTTTTATTAAGTTCTAGTTTTAAAACAAAAAAACAGGGGAACACGAAATACAGAAATTATGAAAAGCACATATACCGAAAGGAAAAGGAATACACTTAGTCCAGTTACATACTACTTCACCCCCGCCCCTGTACTCTTTCTGATGTTAAATTACTTGCAACAGCAAAAATGCACACTGCATAACATTTTAACGAGCCTAAAGTGCAAGAGTGAAGACGCGTCTTACAACTTTAATAAAGTCATTCTGAGAACACAAAAACTGTCCTGTTCCTGCGGTCCTCCTGGTTGTGCTATCAGGCTGCTGAGTACATTTCCCTAGACAGACAGATACGAAGGTAGATGTCCCAATACAGCCAAGTGAAGATTTTCTGCAAGAAGCTGAATTTCTGAATCCTTATTTTAACTCTGAAGTCTTGGTAGTATTCTGAAAAGGAACTGGCACCTAATTGGACAATTTTGAAAGAAGGTCAAGAAAAATTGTATATTGATGGAATACCAAGTATGTCCATACAGAAATTTTCTTGAGGTAACCAGTCCATTATTCTCTCATGTCCCAAAACTTTAATGTTCTATTTGTTTACTTGCTATCAGTCTGCACATTAAGCGCACATAAAAGACATGTTCCTCGTCTCTCCAAAAATTAAATGACTGGTATGTAACCAAACTTTGCAAAAACAGCAGTACCTTCTGGCATTTGGTTTTTTGCCTTTCATTTCTCCCACAGTCTCAACTGAAATAATTGTATCTCTACATAAGACCTAAAAGAACAGATTGGCTTATAGCAAGTAGCCAAAAATCAAAGTTCTCCACGTCAGACAAATTACAATGAACTTCAAAGTTTCCCTGGATTTGAGGTCCCTTTTGAGCCCCCCCCACTTTTTAAAAAATAAAAACTAACAGCAAATATGTTCTAACAGCAAACAGACTATGTGTGTGTTGTATACATTACGTAACATATATGTTGTATAACTTCACAAATGGAGATCTATGGAGTAAGCTTTATAGAAAAAAAGTCTGGGTCGAGTGAGGTAGGTTGTAAACCCTCTTCACAAGAAAATTTTCTGTAGCATTGTTTGTCTTTAAAGAGTTCCCAGTCCAACATTTACCTGCTTGTCAATGACAAGGATGATATCCAATGGTTCACTCATAGAAGAGGCAAGTGCTGCCTTCATTCTGAAGCAAAAAAACCAAATCCCACATACTCAGAGCTAAAACAGAGCTAACCACTTCATCAGAATTTCATGATACACTGAAAAGAAAAGCAAGTGCATGCCGGGTGTAAAGATCAAGTACTTTATCGATTGATTTCACAGTCAGTGCTCTGTGCCTTCCCTATTAAAAATCATCATTATCTAAGTGAATAGTCATTGTACGAGCCTGAACGTTTACATAGCCTGAAAACAGTTCTACAGCATGACTGCCACATTAGCCACATGATTTTTTCGATTACCTGAAGAAGGTCTTTTTGAGCCAAATCCCATTTCTTAAGTCCATTATCTCTGGATCCGCTAAAAAGGTTGTCTCCCATAATAGCAAGTGCTTCAATGCCATCATAATGAGGAGGTTCAAAATTGTGTGTAGGACTTACACTTCCAAGAGCCCCTTCAGTCACATCAAACATCTAAAATAAACAAACAATCACATATGTTGAGCAAAATTATCTGCCATCTAACCAGCTTCGAAGACACTGCAGTGAATAACTGCAGGGGAAAAACTTGGAAAGTCTTGTCACACAGGCCACTGTATCATGATGCCTATTTGACACCATTTATCTACCAGAACAACTTCTTTCTCTTCTACCTCTTGCCTGCAGCACGAATGCTTCACTGATCGCAGGGAAGACAGCTCTGGTAAGAACTGCTACTACTTGGTTACAAAATACCCAGTATCTTCACAAGCAAGAGCCTATATATACTCTGTGGTGGGCTAGAGAAACACAGCTCATGAGCCAGTATGGGAAACACAACTCACACTGGGAGGACTGCACAGGCAGCTGCAGGAAGAGGCATCTGTTTTCCCAGACAAGGTGCTTGGTTGTTTAATGGTTACAGACCATCTCATGCTGATGCTTTCCATGGACTAGACACACCTCTCTCCTTGCCTGTGCTCCAAGAATGAGGTCTTAAAACAGATTCTTTAAGTGAGGCCATTTTAACAATTAAGGCATAGTCAACCTCATCAGCTTTTTGTCCCTAGATCTGCAGTGTAAGCAACCCTGTTTCATTTTGCATTGTAGCGAGCCAGAACTCACCCAGTTAGACTGAGCTGAGGTGAAACAGATGAGCTGTAACTTTTTAAACCACTACCTCTGTTTCACAAGCAAATATCAGACTTCATCCCCTATAATTTGCTCTTCATTAACCTTTTAAAATGAATAAGGTTGGCAGTAAAAAAGGGACAGCTTGGTAGCGTAAAAGAATATGTTCAGCAAGTTAAAGGTATTTTAAAAGTTACCACATTCAATTAACATGCATCAGTTCCAGTTGTAACAAAAGCTCAATGATACACACCAGAAAGATGAGGCACTTTGACAGAGGTGACTAACATTCCTGGCTCAGTAGACAAGCCAGTAGTTTCCTGTCGCAGGGGAAAGCAGTATCTGTGACCAGACCTACTACCCCCAGTGGACCTGCTAACGTGGAGAAGCACTGAGAATTCCCAAACTGCTGCACTGACCATGCATATACACATCGTTTGTACCATCCAGAGCAGCTTGACAATTATGGATGCACTCACCTTGCAGAACACCCACTACTCTGCAGCACGTACACATGGCCAAAATAACCCTGGAAATTCTAGTGGTGCAAGTCAAGAAGCAGGTGGCCTCATAAGGTTTTAAGTAGCCTGCCCACAGTAAAGGAGCACACAAAAATGGCAGATGAACTTCTCTGACTGTTGACAGCTCTGTTTTCCAGAAGCCCTTCCACCTCCTTGCTTGTCACACGAGTTGGTAGCATGACAAACTTGCATTACGTGATTACAGCCTGTTGTCCCCACTGTGGTCCTACACTCATTACTGTGCCAGGACGGCAGCTCTTAACTAACCCAATATTCCGAACCACGAAGAGAAGTAATTATCAGAGTGCGTTTCTCTGTCGCCTTACTGCCTAAGAATCCTCCGGCCTCTAACCATAGGGACTGCTGATAATGGCCCAAACTGTCAAGCTACGCACCCACCTTCCAGGCAATCTTCTGAGGCTGGCCCAGTGCACAGCTAAGCATCCGAGAATTGCAGGATAATGTGAAAAAGAGAAAACCCAGCTCAGTGAGAAAGCTTACTTAGGTTCTGGCTCCTGCTCCACTCCCAGATGTGCTTATACACTTTTTTCAGTGTGTGAGAAGTAAAAAGACTAAAGCAAAGGATATTCCCTTGCAACAAGCTAGAGTATCTAGCTCATTCTCTTCTTTGGCCTCATGAATCACATGTTCTTTGCAGTGTGAAGGTCAGATTCATGAGGAAGATGATGTACAGTTCCTATAGTCTTGTAGTTTGGGCATACTCCTGAGAAACAGGGAGTTCAAATACCCCCTGCCTGAGGTGGGTCCAAAAAAGAAAAACAAAAGAAAAAAACCTCAACAAAACCAAAAACCACCACTCACCAGCCCCCACTCTACCTACCCCTGCCACTCCCCCCCCCCCCCCACAAAAAAAAAACACAGGACACTCTCGTTTCCCTTCCCCACCCCCACAAAAACCCAGCAAAAAAAAACAATGCTGATCTCTCTCTCTCCTTCCTCACTCCAGAACTTGGGCACCACTTAAGCAAGAGCCTGGGCTAGACCCCAAACGTTCTTCTGTGGGGAGCCCGCCACATGCCTCCGCTGAGGCAGTTAGTTCTGCTCTCCAAAACAGAGGCACTGACTTCAGATACTTCAAGAGCTACATGTTACTTAGGAGTAGGTGTTAGGAATATTTCTCTAAGACTTCATACACCTGATGTTCACCTTAATGGAGATCAAGAAAAAGTTTACCTACAGACAATCATCCAAACAAAAATAGCACTGAAGGGATAAGCGTTTATCAAGACAAAATGTTATTCATAAGCTATAACTGATGAAACAATTTCCATCTTGGCTATGACGTTTCAGATATAGAGACTTGAGTCACTTCTGCTGAAGCCTGCATCCCAATGCTGATGTGAAGAGCTAAAATAAATACGCAAATGCTGACGGTTTACCTTTATATAATGATCCTTTGAACCAGTGACAATAAGATCTTGTCCATTGGAAATTCTTTCTACAGTAAGGCACATAACAGGACCCTGGTGACCAGTTAGCTTTCCTGTAGACTGAAATCTTCAAGAATAAGAGAAGAAATGAGGGTTTGTTATTTTGTTATATATACAATACAATCTACAGCACAATTTCTGTCGGAATGGATCTTTCTATTTTCCCAATGCCTTCACCATTCATCCCCTGCTTAAATACACTCTATTGCTCATATCTGTGTGTAAATGTTAAATGTGAAACAAAAGCTTCTATTTTTGTAAAATAAGAATTAAAAAATTTTAAAGACAGACAAATTATACCCCTCAAAGTATTCTCTTTATTTTGAATGCACTCTTTGGGTGTGGGTTCTGTTTGGAAAAGTCATAGCTCCATGTTACATTCCATTCCATTCCATCAGATGGCTTTCATCATCTCATCATCAATTACTAGTCAGGATTCATGCATCTGTGACCTTACAAGAGGCTGTTTTACATTGCCTATCTTAAACAAAACCTTGTGGTTTTCCTTTCAGTGTGTTTAGTCCTTTTTCCTTTCTTATGTTTGTCCTTTCAATACTTAAAGGGGGCTCATAAGAAAGATGGGGACAGGCTTTTTAGCAGGGCCTGCTGTGGTAGGACAAGGGGTAATGGTTTTAAACTGAAAGAGGGTAGATTCAGACTGGACATAAAGAAGAAATTTTTAACGAGGGTGGTGAAACACTGGCACAGGTTGCCCAGAGAGGTGGTAGATGCCCCTAGAAACATTCAAGGTCAGGTTGGAAAGGGCTCTGAGCAATCTGATCTAGTTGAAGATGTCCTTGCTCACTGCGGGGGGCTTAGACTAGATGACCATTGAAGGTCCCTTCCAACCCAAACTATTCTATGATTCTATGATTTTTCCAATCATTTTTACTGAAATGATTCAGCATAACCTTAAGACACAAAGAGATCATGAGCACCTCCATTACCTCAGTAGCCACCACGGCATGGATTAGTTGATCCATATTTTGACCCAGGTTATGGACATTGCCATGAACATGAAACACTTTGTTGGCTTTGTTTCATATGCACATGTAACCACCTAAAGAACATTCTTTTCTGCTGGTGTTCAGTACCTTTTCAGGTCCCACATCCTCACTGAGTTTCCAGCAGCTGCATAGAGGAATGTGCCGGTTGGATTTAGTGCAATCTGATTGATCTGGTTCTCTCCAGCTGGGATAGTGACTGTTCTGTTAGTACTTCCTGAACACACATCACCAGGCATCGCCTGGCCCGAAGACCTGAGTACAGGGAGGACAGAGAAAACAAAACAGAAAAAGAAAACAAACTCCCTTATTACATATTCATAAGCCAACTATAAATACTGAACATTTGATAAAACACTACAGGCATGAATGTAAATTGTTTTGTGTTTCCATATATTACCAGTGCTCTACACTGACTTAGGCTGAACACATAAATAAAGCCTCCAACTCCAGTGTACTTAAATTACACTGTGCTGCACTATTAAATGTAACTTTTTTTTTTTTAGATAAAAGTAAGATTCATTTAAACTCTTGACATTCAAGGTTTAACATACTTACGTCAGTGTCCGAACACACTTAGCAGAATCTCTGATGTCCCACACCTTGATATAGGAGGTTGAGACTGTGAAGACCAGGCTAGTGTAGTTGCAATATTTTATAGAAACAACATTATTTGGATGACCCCCCAGAGACATAATCTCTTGTCCAGTTACCAGATTCCAGACTTTACAGGTACGATCTAAATAAAGACAAGCAAAACCAGAAAAAATTAAAAACAAATAACCCCCCCACCAAACAAACACCACAGAGGACATGTTTTTCCAAAACTCAGTTAATTTAAAGGAAGTTCATATAATCATTTGCACTCATTCACAATCCTCCATTTTGTCAGGCACTTAAACATCTATGTAATTAATCTGTTTTTGTAGAGTACACATGGCCAATATCCACCATCATCAAAACTAAGCAAGGGTAACCATTAAATGTCATGCTGAAGATGTGTATATTAGCTCCCATTGCATTTTAAAAGGATAAAAATCCCATGTCAACCTCAAACTGTCCAACAGACAGTTTTGGAGGCTGTACAGTTTAGATGATGACAGATCAAGACTACTACTCCATTAGTAATTCAAGGATTTTTCATCAAGAACATAGTTCTGGAGGGGCTTTGAGCCTCAGCATGACAGAAGGACTGACCGCCACAACAAAATTACAAAAACAAGAAACAATCCAAACTATTTGGTGCTTTAGCAGCCTCTGAAAATCCCATCGTTAAGTGCTTTAGTCACAATTTTCATTCAGTAGCAAAGGAATTTAAATACCACAACCTTTTGTGTGCTAAGGGCCCAGATGCCCAGAAGTTTTCACGACTTTTGCAACACAAATGGAGTCCACACAGGAAACTCTCAGTGTGTTACCATGTCTGTATCACTCCATATATTTTGGAAGTACATTTTTACTGGAATAAGTACTATGAGGATGAAGAGCAAACTTCATATGTAGGCAGTGTTTATATAAGCACGAAGAAGGTAAGTATACCAGAAACTCATTAGTCACTTTAAAAATCCGAACTAT